CACCCCTCCCCCCCCCCCCCCAACCGTAGAACGCAGACAACGGTGTGTCTATGGAACAGCTTCAGAGCGTGCCAAGTCTGCAGATTCCATCATTCTGCCCCGGGATGTACAACGGTAACAACAACACTTAACCCGCCAGATGTTACAGCCGCCGCGCCGCGCACCGCGGCCTGTGGATGCCCCGAGCGGAGAGCCGTTCATCGCTTCCCCGCCAATAAATCGCGGACTTTGCGCCATGTCTGCGTATCGGAAATTGGGGGAAATATTTCTGCCACAGGATTCGTGTCTGTGAACCCCGAAAATGAACTGCTGTTGTTTCCTACCATTTGGTCTGTTATGGATTTCACTGAAATACCTGTTGATCCCGCCAGAAGTCCAGCGAGCTGATAATTTCCTGTGCAAATGCAAACCAGTCTCATCCTCCCTCCCAGTTCACCTCTGAACTACACAACACCTCTCCCTCCTATATTAAGGAGATTAGGAGGGTTTTTCTGTAGTCCTAACACTTCCTGCACTGTACTGTACTGTAGAGGAGCAGTGTTGTTACCCGCTGAAAGGACTACAGAACACCTCCCCCCTATCCGTGGTCCTCCTTAAGGGCCCAGTCACACCATCAAGAGTGCGTTCCAGTGCGTTCAGCCCCTGGAACGCAACCCGGGCGGCTCACTTTTTTTGGGGGCGTGGCAGTGCATTGAACTCAACGGCACGCCCTCCCCACCCGCGGTACGATCACCGCCACCCAAACGCGTGGCACATTAGCGCCTGCATTCCGGTCCAGTGCAACCTGCAAAAAATAGTGTTTGTAGCATGTTTTGCACATCGCACTGGACCGGAATGCAGGCGCTAATGTGTCACGCGTTTACAAATTGAATTATATGACCATATTGGAGGGCAATAGACATGGAGGCAACAAAGAAGTCAAATATAACACCACATGATCTGCAGAGATTCACATCTGAGATGAGAAAAGGTGTCTTTGGAGGAATCCAGACCCAGAGGCTTTACAAGTTTGGGCTTTATGGAAGAGTGGGAGAAAAAAAATCCATTGCTGAAAAAAATCCAAATCAAATTCTGTTTGGAGTTTACCAAAGATGCGGCGTAAACAAGTTGGTCTCATGAGACTGCAATGGCATTTTAAGTTCTCATGGCAAAACACAAAGTTGGTTCTAACATCTATTGACTTGGTGGGTGAACACTTATGTAACCAACACATTTGCCATTTTGTTTATTTTATCTTTGTGTCACAATAAAACAATCTTAGGCTTTAGTTAAAGGAGAACTATGAGATGAGCGATTTCCACTCACCTCATAGTTCTAGCCGACCTGTGACAATGAGACTGTCACAGGTCGGCTCAGTAGATCGAGAAGTGACCGAACACTTACCGGCGTTCGCTCACCTCCCGATCCTGTCGTGACAGGGGGAGGGGCTGGATTCCCCCCGCTCCGATCTGCCAGCGCTGACTGGCGGAACGGACGGGGGAGGGGGCGGGATAATAACTTTTTCCCACCAATGCTCACTACATTAGCAGACAGAACCAGGTCATTGTGGTATCACGCTTCAATTTAAAAAAAGAGGAAAGACAAAGAAAAAAGGTTTACAAAAACAAAAAGAGAAGAAAAAAGATAAAACGGATAATATTCGGCGTGAGGGGGCCGGTGACTCTACCTGACACAAAGGCCACTTTCTCCTTCAGTGTGGGCAGGACGTCAGTAGCTTTCAGTCCATCGTTCCGGAAGGAGCCTGAGAACAAAGAGAGAGAACAATGATCAGCACCAGAACACAATGGATCGGGTTCTATATTCCGATGGAGGATGTGTGTGGAAACATTTTACATCGGAAGGCAAAACGTAGTATTTCTAGGTAAGGGAATCAATAATATTTTTACACCGTGTATCCCATTGGGGACATTTCCCTCAACTTCCTGTCCCAGAGACTCAACAGGAAGTTTAAAAAAAAATAGTTGTGTCCTGAAGTAACCTATAATGACATCTAGCACTCGGTACTGCCGCAGCATGCGAGCGCCTGTGCACGCCGACGTGTTCTGAAATAGACGCGCGTAGACTGGGAGTCCCCTGAACACAGACTGATGAGCTCCGGCGTAGTAACACGCTCACGATGACGCATCAGAATAACGACCCCAATTTATTACATTGCTTCTAATCAACAAACAGGCACAACTTTAATAACACACAGACAACGACGGTCCAGGCAGGAGAGGAGGAGATGATAGATTTTCATGGCAGCAGCGCCGGGGAAGCCAATAAATATTTGAAACATTTTCCGAATATAAAAGTGAAACGTTTCGATTTGTTTGGTTGACATTTAAGAAAAACATTTATCAGAATTTATCCTCATTCACCTGAAGAGTAGAGGCGGCCCCCGAAATACAGCTCATTGTACTACCAGGGACCCAAACCCATCGCCGGCCGGTCCCGTTCATGAGGAGCTGCAATTCGCTGATAAACAAGGTCAGGACCGGTGTGGAGGGTGTACCAGAGGTCGGTGTTGGGGGGCTTTGGTCTCTCCTGCCCCGTCACCCCTCTTCTGCCCCCGTCACCCCTCTC